TAGCTTGACAAATGTGCGGTTAATTTCCATAGGTTATAGGAAGCTATTGGTAAAGGTTTAGTGCAAGGCTATGTGAGAGGTTTAGGTTTCCAAGTTATTAAACTCCTTGAAAAGAATACTTATGCAGAATATAACATAGAGATCAGAAGATCACGATAATGTATCTGTAAAGGTCGTAGTAGAATATATCAATAGCCACCTCATAAAGGACCCAAGCAACCGTATATGGAAGAAAATATAGAATTCGATACTTGATATTTGAATAAAATCTTTCAAACCAATTCATGTAGCGTACAAATTAAACTACATTTTGTGTTTTAGCCAAGTCCCGTGTTTTGGGTTATAATGTTTTCTTTTCCTTCATGCAACGGGACATACAGCCGGACAACGCAGCACAAAAAACGATAAATCATATTCAATTATAATTTTTCAGACGTGGCACCCAGCAACAACAACAGTCAAAGAAGAAGATACATCTTGCATTGATTGTAATCTCATCTTCGACCGACAGATAGAGGAGATAGCTCTTGCCCTTTCCCTCCGCATCTTCTTGTTTCTTCTTCTTCATATTCTTAAATTTACTGTACTGACTGGACACCTATAATACGACATATTATATTATGTTACATTTGTTGTATCACTCAAAATGTAATCCTAATAATAATAATGTGTCCCTGCATACAAAAAAACAGGCCGCAATATTTGCTTATTACTAAGATATTTACAACATTATACATAATATATTTTATAGTCATGTATCATGTACATCAAATACATCCTTTTAATTTTTTGCGTTGGTTAAACTGGTTTCGTCTCTTTCTTTTATCTATTAACGACTTTGGTTGGTCCGACTGGAAAATTGGAAAATTTGTTTTATCATATTAGTACACATTTCATCACAAGAGTTTTAACATAGTTTTTCAAATACTTTAATCAACCTTGTCTACATAATTCGTTCATCCATTCTTCAACTGTTCTTTTTCTCTAAAATTTAATACATTTCGATATATTTACGCAAAACATGTTATTTTTTGAATATCCTTTTTCCATATTTGGTTTTTCCTAAATATGACCATTCGTTTATAATTTTTAATCGCCATAAATATAATAATCGCTTTAAAATCGCCATTATTTATTAGGCATAGATAAGGCAACTCTATTTTTGTATAAAATCAATTATTTGGTCTTGGAATCCCTTAAAATAAATACATTGTTAGAATAAAATACATGTTCATTTATGTACTCAACCAGCCACAAATATACGGGATATTAGGTACATCCCTGTTGTGCATAATGAATAATAAATTAGGTATACTAATGCAGGATTTTCAGAAAAATGTTTCTTAATTTTCCATTGCAGTAGCATTTCTAAATTATTAAGGTTAACTGTGTTGAAAATTGTCAGTAATGTTCATTGCATCTTGAATGATTTTATCAATGAGAACAAATACATAATTGATATTAATTATTAAGGTGTGTCTAGGGAAAATTATTTTTATAAATTTACTATTTTAACTAAACACGAGTAGGTATAGGTCAGGGTTCGGAAAACTACATGTTACTTTTAAAAACTACTAGTTTAAGTAGAGGGTGTAGTTTATGTAACTTATGTATGTAACTTTCAAATATCAAAGGTTTGAGGTGAGGTTTTAATAAGTTGAAGCTTTAAAAACACATAATGTATTTAAGAAAACAGAAGAAATATAGCTTTAAATATAATATTTACATCATATTATCTCTATTACACCTCATACAAAAGAAATTATTCATAATATCAATACATAGTTTATTAACGTAGTTTTCATGTAGTTAATGAACAGGAAAAGACGTAGTTTTTGAAGAAAAACTACAAGTAGTTAATCAGGTAAATTACGTCTTAATTAACTACTTCCGAACCCTGGTGTAGGTACTACAATAGACAGTAGGTACCCGTCTGACATGGAATGGGTACCACCATCGTGACAAAGTTATATTTCTTTCGATTTGTCGGTTTGTGGTTTGGTTTTGACGATTACGCGGTACTTTCAGAGAATTCCGAATTTTATATCTATTTTTACTATAATTTCAATAGAATATAACAGTACTATCGTAAAGCTGATTAATTCTAGCGGTCTATTAAACAATTAAATTTCTATTATTTATAAAATGGGAATTAATTATTGTAGAGAAGATATACCTTGCATTAAGAGAAATTCATAAGGATCCTAGCCCTAAGTAAAAGGTTTTAGGATATTGTTTTAAAATAATGATACAAGCTCTGTAACAAGTTCTGTTCCTTTGATGTACACAATATTTATTTTTAATTCATCTAGATTTCTGCTAAGGTTCCAAAAAATGTTTTCTTTTTAAAAACTGGATTCCATATTTATTTGTAATCGATCCCATACCCTAAAAATTCTTACACCCTGTTATAGTTCCATAAATTTCCCAACAGTAACAACAGTCAGTATACTGACAATGCTTCCACCAGTAAGCTGTAAGCGGATTAAAAAATACTCAATTATTTAAAAATATAGGTTTTATATAAACTAATTAACTTTTACAGTCTTCGTTTCGAATTTCCCGAATTATTTAAAAAAAGTAGAAATCCTGTTAGAAATAATGAATTTTCATGTATTACTTACATATCTCTTTCAAATTTGGAAATTCGTTCAAACTTGAAAAAAATCATCAAAGCTACGACAAAAATGTGGGGCATGATCACGATTCCATTTTTCATCGATTCCATTCTATACCGAGTATAGATATACTTTAACAGGAAGCCAAGTGATAAAAAATAATCCAAGTCGTTATGAACAATGCATATCAGCACTAATATTTGTTTCAGATATCACTTATGCCATAAACTTATAATCTTCATATAATATTAATTGAAATTAAAGCTAATCAACGTTATATGTAGAGTTCTTGGAGTTCTCGTAGAAGCAATACATTTTGTAACAAGTGGAGTGGCTGTAATAAGGGTTTCTAATTTTATTTCTATTTTCAATTACTTCGAGTAATGTTTATGTAATAGTTCGGTTTGCATGTCCGCTAATGCAAATGTTATGAATATTACATGTTTTAGCACGTGCCTTATTATTTAGAATTTAATCAAGTTTTAATTTGTTCTTATGCAGGATATTTGGCTCCAAAGAAGATTGGTTTTTATTGCTTATTTTTGCAATAATTATAAGTTATTATACATTTCATAACAAGATTAAAGCAGAAATTACCTATTGTGTTACAATAGCAATTGAAAAAATAGCTACACAACAGTGTTTAGTCAACAAATCAAAAAATTTATCAGGAAAGAGACAGGCGAAAGAGTTCATAATAGTAATAAACGAAGATATAGGCATTCCAGATTCTGTCAATCAAAAAAAGAAGACACAGTAGAACGCCTTTTGTGCCAGGAAAATAGTCTAAGAATAGTAAGTTTTTTATAATAGGCGAAGATAACTCATTGTCAAAAAGCTTACAAGGGAGAATCAGTCTCCATGTTATTTAACTTTCCGAAGAGTATATTATACTTTGGAGACTAGAGCTTGGGAATATGCATAAAATGTAATATCTTGTGTCATCTACTAATAGGGTAAATATAAAAAAACGTGTGTGATTGAAAAAATGGTTTACTTCATATATTGGGATTGATTTTTGTAACATGAAATTACTATGAAAAATCGTAAGACAAAAATCTCGAGACAGTAATGAAAATTTTCTTCGGATGTTTTGCCTAATATTTCATTTTCAACCACTCTTCTTCTTCTTAAGGTGCCTTGCAGATTCCTGCGTAGGCGTTCATCTTTTTCTTCCTCATCAGATGGTTCTGTTAACTGCCGCGACTTGGAGTGCTTGGAAGTCCTGTATGCCTGTCCAATGACGAATATTTCTCAGCCAGGATAGCTTCCTTCGTCCTATCCCCCTTTTGCCCTTCTATTTTACCCTGGAGAATCAGACGCTGAAAGTGATAGAGTTCTCCACGTAGTATGTGTCCCAAATAGGCTATTTTCCAACCACTCTATTAATATAAAAATAATAACATATTTTACATCTTAAGAGGAAACATATAGGAAAAAGCCAAAATTTGTCAATATTGCTTTGACTTCATTACTATTAAATAGCTATTGTAAATTTGAAATTTCTCGTTTGTTTCTTCGAATTTCTGCAAAAGTAAATCCAAAAGTTTGTAACAAATAGATAATAATAAAGACTATTTTATCATTAGAAGCCACCAGAACCAAAAGAATTAACAGAAAAATCAGGTGCAGGAAAAATGAATGAAAAAGACATCAGGGAAATGGGCAAAAGAATGTAAAAAGTACCTCTAAAATATCAGTAATATCAGCACGCTGCGCTGCTGAAAATTCAGGAAGTGGCTAAAATAAAATGACAATGGGCTGGACACATTGCTCGACTGGATAGAGACAAATGGGCGCATAGAATAACAGTGTGGAGGCCAAGACAAACTAAAAGAATTATGGGACGTCCACAGAAATGTTGGGTGGACGACATTAGGGAAGTGGCAGGTAAACGGTGGTTAAATACAGCACAAAACAGGAAGACATGGAAAAGGATAGGAGGGACCTATATCAAGGAGTGGATGAATCTGGGTTGAGGGAGAAGAAGAAGATATAAAGATCCTCCACATCCAGAGCTGCAGCAAGTCAGTTTTAAAAAGACTTAAGTCATTTCTAAAATCTAAATGATTTCAGTCTTATGTCAAATTCAACATAAAGTTCAAATGATTTTTAAAAAAATGCGACATGACACCTCTATCAACGACTCATGTCTTCAATTGCGATTAAAGAATCGCAGTTTTGCTCATCTCTAATAGGTGAATACATGAAATCCTATGAATACATGAAATGTCTTCAAAAAAACTCAACAAAGCTGCAAATATTAATTAGGTGATTTGAAGATCCTACACGGCACATCCGTCTCTTCGCCACCACCAAAGAACAAAGACGCATCACCATCCCGATCGCGAAACTTCACCGCGGGACGCGCGGGGGGCGACCCGCGGTGCGCTTCGCACTTTGCACGTTGTTAACATTTTCCGGACGCCACGTGACACCGTCCATTCACGTCGCCCGCCGCCGCGTTGGTGGGGCGCGGGAGGCGGAGCCTGCACCGTCCCGCCGGCAGGAGCAACAGTCCCGAACCGCGTCCATCCGTCAGTTTGCCGGCTGAGAGCGACCGATGAAGTCTTGTTGTGCGCTGCTCGCCTTCGTTCATCATTTCACGCGACCGCGAAGTCAACCTGTAATGTGCTCATCCGTTCGAAAATAAGACTAGGAAAAAAAACTCGAAACATGACTCGCTTTATTACCTTTCTCGGTGTGACGACAATAGTTCTTATTACAGTGTTTTGTGTTAGTTCCCGGAGTTTAACCAACTTCGATCAAGCTCCCAGAGGATGTGAGTGGCGGATGCGTCCGTCTGAAGAGTCCGAAAACACCGAGGAACCAGTCCTGTACTGCCAAATCCGAACAGTCAGCAATGCAGAACCCTTAATCGGAAACCTCACTCAAACCCAGAGCGACCGTGTCACTAGTTTACTACTCGAATGCAACGACGCTCTCTTTTTTGAAAGCTCCCTAGATCCAGCCCAGAGAGGTTCATTTTTGGTGCAACTAAAAAAACTACGCGACCTAAAAATCGAAAACTGCAAACTCCGAAATATTCCCCCAGCCTCACTCGCCGGTCTACGTCATCTTAAGAGATTATCTCTTCGCTCCCACAACTCAGAATGGTCCGCGATGACTTTAGACCTCAACGCGGAAAGTTTCCGAGGATTGGCCGAACTAAGAAGCCTGGACTTGGCCGATAACAACATCTGGAACGTGCCTCAAGAAATGTTCTGTCCTCTTTATAGTTTAACTCAACTAAACCTTACGAAAAACAAACTTCAAGATATCGGGAGTTTGGGATTTTCGGACTGGGGTAAAGGACCTCTAGCTCCGGGTAGGGCATGTGTTAACAGCTTGGAAATACTGGATTTAAGCGAGAATGAGGTCATTGCCTTGCCTGACAACGGATTTTCAGCGTTGAGAAGTTTGGAAGAATTACACTTGCAAGATAATGCAATTTCAACTTTAGGTGACCGAGCTTTTGTCGGATTGAACGCATTGAAGACTTTAAACATCTCCAGCAATTGTTTAGTTGCAATGCCACCAGAATTATTTCAATCTTCCAGAGAACTTACCCATCTTTACCTTCAAAACAACTCATTAAGTGTCTTAGCACCAGGTTTACTTGAAGGACTTGACCAACTACGAGTTCTAGACTTGTCGAAAAACGAACTAACCAGTCGCTGGGTAAACAGAGACACATTTGCCGGCTTAGTACGATTAGTCGTACTGAATTTAGGACACAACCAGCTGAGTAGAATAGATGTCAGTCTATTTCACGACCTTTACACCCTACAAATCTTGAATTTAGAACATAATCATATTGGTGCTATTGCTGAAGGTGCGTTTTCTGAACTCAAAAATCTTCACGCACTTACATTGACACACAATAAATTAGTACGAATAGAATCCTACCATTTTACCGGAATGTATGCCTTAAATCAGCTGCTTGTCGACCAAAACGAAATAGAGCATATTCATCCCAGAGCTTTTGAGAACGTGACCAATTTACAAGACCTGGGTCTCAATGGGAACATGTTAGGAGGTGTGCCTTCAGGTATAGGTCAATTAAGATTCCTAAAAACCTTAGATTTAGGCAAGAATCACATTGATGCTGTCGAAAACTCTTCTTTCGAAGGACTTGATTTACTTTACGGACTGAGATTAGTCGATAATCACATAGTGAACATCTCCAGAGACGCGTTTTCTACACTACCATCTCTCCAAGTGTTGAATTTGGCATCAAACAGAATACGGTATGTTGAACAAAGTGCGTTTTCTAGTAACCCAACTTTAAAAGCTATTCGTCTTGATGCCAATGAACTTACTGACATCAGTGGTGTTTTTACAAACCTCCAAAGTCTAGTCTGGCTGAATGTATCCTCAAATAAGCTGGTTTGGTTCGATTTCAGTCATCTTCCTGTCAGTTTGGAATGGCTGGACATGCACGGCAACGAAATACCGGAGCTAGGAAACTATTACGAGGTCAGAAATATGTTAAAAATCAAAATGCTCGATGTCAGTTTCAATTTGATCACACAAATCCAAGAGAACGCTATTCCAGACAGCGTGGAGACCTTGTATTTGCAGAATAATCGTATAACCTCCGTAGCCCCCAATACTTTTACGCACAAAAAACACTTAGAAAAAGTAGTGTTGTATGGAAATAAAATTCGATACTTAGACTTGGCTGCCTTAAACTTAAGTCCAGTCAGCGATGACAGAGATTTACCTCAGTTTTATATCGGAGGAAACCCATTTTATTGTGACTGCAAAATGGAATGGTTGCTGAGAATAAACCATCTGAGTAATTTAAGGCAATATCCGCAGGTCCTGGACTTAGATGACGTAACCTGTGAGCTTTCACATGCCCGAGGATCACCTCCACAACCTCTACTTAGATTGAAACCATCGAATTTCCTTTGTTCCTATCAAACTCACTGTTTTGCTCTTTGTCATTGCTGTGATTTTGATGCCTGCGACTGCGAGATGACTTGTCCTGACAGGTGTACTTGCTATCATGATCATACCTGGTCTTCGAACGTCGTGGACTGCAGTAATGCTGGCTACACAACTGTACCCGAGAAAATACCCATGGATGCCACAGAAATATATCTGGATGGAAATAACCTTGGTGAACTGGGAAGTCACGTGTTTATTGGCAAAAAGAAGCTAGAAGTTTTGTTTTTGAACAACAGTAATGTGAAGGCGTTGCATAACAGGACTTTCAATGGTGCAAAATCTTTGAGGGTGCTACACATGGAAGACAACAAGTTGGAGGAGTTGAGAGGTTTCGAGTTTGACCAACTAGAAAACATTAATGAACTTTATTTGGACCACAACAACATAGCTTATGTGGGCAACCAAACTTTCCGTAACATGCATCGCTTGGAGGTGCTCAAACTGGACGAGAACCATATAGTCAACTTTCCTCCGTGGCAACTAGAGTCTGCAGCTCCCAGAGTGTCAGTAGAAGGCAACAAGTGGTCGTGTGAATGTTCGGCTCTAGTCAAATTGAACAGCTGGATTCGGTCTTCGGGTGGTGATCCAGCGAAAATGCTTTGTACGGACGGTGATGAGACTGTTTCGGACGCTTTAAACAGATGTGGTGATTTGGACAATGCCGTGGCGACTTCGGTAGTGCAAAAAGAACTTGTAACTGACGGTCGTGTCCTTGGAGAAAGTTTTGTGCCGCTGTTAGCCGCTACCTTGGTTTCGGTGATCGTCGTGTGTCTTCTAGTGGCGATTGTGTTCGTTTTTCGACAAGAAGTGCGACTCTGGGCTCATTCGCGATACGGTGTGCGGATATTCCAAGACGTCCAGAACAGAAGTGATGACAGGGACCATTTGTATGACTGCTACGTAGTCTACAGCCACAAAGATGAAGACCTAGCCGCTAGAATCATCGCTCCAGAGCTAGAAGCTTTCGGTCACACCTTGTGTCTTCATTACCGAGACCTTCATCTACTGAACGGCGCTTCATACTTAACAGACGCAATGGTTGGAGCTGCAGATGCATCCAGAAGAATCCTCTTCGTAGTCTCCCCAGCACTCATCTGCGCAGAATGGTCCAAACCAGAGTTCCGCGCAGCTCTCCAAGCTGCGCTCAGAGCTACATACAGGCGCAAGTTAGTCTGCGTACTAAATGGTGATCCTCTGGAACCGATGGATCCAGAATTACGCGCCCTGTTACGTGCTGGTACTGTAACTAGATGGGGTGAGCGGAGGTTCTGGGAGAAACTACGGTACTCCATGCCTGACGTACCAGGTGATGGAAGAAGAAAAAAACCTCAACCCCATCTCCAAGAGATCCGGTGCAAGCAGAGCGCTAGGTACTCAAACGCGGATGCTTGGTACAAGTACCAGGCAGTAGCAGGGGTCCACCAGAGTACTGCTTTGACTCCTACCCCAACTCAAAGCACCTACGTGTCTGGCGGTGACTCCAACCGGAGTACTGAAGATGAAGGTGGTTCCAGTACTAGTTCCCAGCACTATGGCTCGGAGCAATTGAACCATAGTTACGTTTCTATCGATGGGAGGCCTCACCAGTACCACCCTAGCTGTAGAAACGAGGTTCCTCATCACGTGTATTCCACAATTCCAGACGCACCTCCCCAATCCAGGACTTACTTCGTTTAATGTGATGTAACGATCCCTGGTACTACTGCTTCTGCTTGATTTTTTTTTGTATCGTTGTTAGGAGCAGTGAATAGGTGAAATGTCAATGTGAGTTACTAATTTTTCAAAGGCTGTCTACTTATAACATACATATAAATATATTTATAAAAACGCTAAATTTTTTGTAAGTATTAAAAAAATCGATAAATATAATATAACCGTTTTTAAAATATTATTATTACTATGTAATGTCTCGTTATATTGTATATATTTTGTAAATATTCCTCAATGTATAAAATAAATAAAAAAATTATATATGAAACGGTACGAGTATTTGTACTAATTTTTCCAACGCTTATTAGTCAATAATTTTAAGTTAATCGAACAAAATAATATTGTAAATAAAATTCCGGATTTTATGACATTAAAGACTGTTAAATATTGTACATTTGAAACTCTTTTAATTTATGAATAAATAAAATCGACATTTTTTAAATTATTTTCGTCTTTTATTTACCTGCTTCTATGGTACAACCCAAGATACCTCTTTTTAAATCAATATTACTCATTCAATCAGAAAAGTAAACTTGTTTCATATCAAACGTTCAAGTTGAATTTAAAAATAAATAATAATTTATACAGAGTGAGTCTTAAATAAGTGCAAATATTTTTACGATTATGATTTTTTTCGCGAAAAAAGAAATTAAATATTTAATTTAAAAAAAATTTGGAATTTATTTTAATTTTTAATTAAAAATCATAATTTCTTGGTAATACCGCAACATAAATAGTAGATTAAATTTTCAAGAAAGAAAACCCAGAAAAAATTCAGTGGTTCTCAAAATTAAAAAAAAAACAATTTGTTTTAAATTTTCAAAGTAAAATAACTCGGATATTTTGGACTTATTTGAAAAACGGTAACGACAAAATTAGTTTCTTTTATCGAGATCTACCCCTGAAAATATTTGCATTTATTTAAAATTTACCTTGTATATCTGAGACCATTCTCCATTAAATGTTATTTAGTTTTTATTATTTTATTTGTGTATAGGTATTGTACTGAATTAAATTATGAAAAATATAATGAAAAAAAAAATCTAAATACTTTCTTGGAATATTTTTATTAATTCTTTGAACACTTCTAAAATCCAAGTAACTCTTCTAATTAATTTTAACTGAAAATTATATATCTGCATTATTTGACTTTTTAGTTAATACAATAATATAATAATTCTAGCATTTAAAAAAAATCAAGAAACGATCATTATTCTTTTTCATTTTTAATTATTTCTTATTTTTTGATTTGTACCTGTTTTTGAATTGCAGCTTTACATACTTATATTAATGTTTTAAGTAAGTTTTAAGTTTTAATAATTCAATATAACTTACCTAATAAAGAAACAAGTAATGATTATTAAGTAATTATAATTTATATTTTAGTACAAAAAAATTGAATATTTGTATTTTTAAATTCTTAAATTTCAATGACTAAGTAATTGTTTTGCTTAAAATTCATATTAGATTGTAATGCCATTATAGGTAATAATAAATGGAAAATCAAATAAGATTCAATAAATTTCTTCTTTCTTATCAAGTGCTCTAAAATAAATAACAAATATATTCAACTATCAGAATTTTAAAGTTTCATACATTATTTATCACTATAACATGACAGAAAAATAATGAATTTAATAATTAAACAAATATACAGGGTGGTCCGAACTCTATTTAGGAAACTTCGGCAGCATATTCTGCAGATAAAAATAAATAAAAAAGTTCGTATAAATGTATGGCCAAAAATGCTTAGTTTCGGAGATACAGGGTGTAGAATTATAATTTTTATTTCGATTTTTTCCAAATAACTTCTGTAGTCAACATATTGTATTGATATTTTCGATTCCAAATATACTCGTAGCGATTTTTACCAAGAGACCTTTTTACGTAAAAAACGTCGTAAATGTATTTTTTTTACTCAGTAATTTTATGATGCAGTTACGGATAAAAAGTTATTACTCTTCAAATCAGTTAAAAAATATGTAGGTGGCGCCCTCTACAGGCAGGAGTCATATTGACATCAAAATCAAATTTCTCATGTCAAAAAACTCCCAGACACCAATGTTCATCCAAATATTGACATTACTTCAGGAAATATTTGGAAAAAAATCGAAATAAAAATAAGACTTCTACACCCTGTATATCCGAAACTAAGCATTTTAGGACGTACATTTATAGGAACTTTTTTACTTATTTTTATCTGACTGTATATAATCTTTTATCACCCTGTATATAATATTGTAATTTATTTTAACTTTTATTTTATTTTTTTATAATTTCTGAAATATGAAGAGGATATCGATCAAAAAGAAACGGCTGTAGTAAAAAATTTCTCTTTTTTCTGGAGTCGAAATATACTACTGCTAAAAATATTTGCACTTATTCAAAACTTATCCTGTATAACTGATAAAAAATAACCGCATAAATCAGTAAAAATTCATGCTTGGTCTCTTCAGTTTCAAAATAAAATATACGTGAGCCCAATTTACATTTATTTCTTCAAAAATCATCTTCATGAATTTTTAAAATCCCTCTTTCAGGTTTAAAAATATGTAAAAACTCAAGTTAGAACCGTTCATTCTTATTCCACCATAAAAAATCTCCTCTTTTAAAGGCCTCTTAAAGCCCCGACTTAAATTTGTGATCGTTCTGGTTGACCCTAATATAACAAGATCGAAAAATTCTTTTAGAAATGGACCAACCAACGTTTCGACTCTATAGTTTCTTCGTCAGGGATGTTAGCTAGGGTTCCTTACCTACCTACCTGCCTGGGAACGGAATGGACCCCGAATCTATTTCAAATCAGAGAAAAAAAATACAAACTCTTAAAATAGACTTTTTCGTTCTTAAATGTCCATAAATTTTGAATGGGGAATTTCTGTTTTGATTTCGATAAAGTAGCAGAAGAAATAAGCTTATTTTATCAAAAGGTTTTTGAAATTGATGAGGAATTAGTGTCTACATTCGTTAAATTGCAAGTGTTTGGATAGATTTACTGTCTTTTGATATAGAGACAGCTAATAATCGTAAAGATAGACAAGTTTGAAGATATATTATTACTACTATGACCAATAATTATTATACTATGAGTATACAGGGTGTTTCGTAGCTACAGGGTGTTAAAATGAAAAATAAAAAAAGTGGAAATAATCGAACTTTATTTTAAAAATAAACTTTATTTTACTTTATTTTAAAACGTCTTCGTTGAGTTCTTGTACCAACTGAATTTTGTACGGGTGGAACTTTTTTTAATATCTTTTGGACGCTTGTACCATTCACGCCGGTCTCATTGGCTAATTTTCTTGTACTCAGCGTACTTGACAACTTGGCTTAATACGAATACCTCCATATCTTCATTTACTACAGGATTTGCCTCTTTTTATTTATAACGGAACCAGTTTCGCGAAATTTTGTTACTAACTCGCGAACAATTTTGCCATAAAGGTGTTTGTTAGGATGGCGTTCATTGAATATCTGCGCAACCCGATTGCCACATTCATTATTTTTATAATAAAGTTCGATTATTTCCACTTTTTCTGCAAGTGAGTACATCATAATTGTCAAAAAGTTTAACGGTATTGAGAAGAAATTCAACGCACAAGTCACAGAACAGCTATCTAGTAACTACCACACCTGATCATTCAACCTTGTGGCAAGTGAAAAAATGCGAAAACATCTAGAAATAATAACAACTAGAACTAGAACAGCAAATTGGTCGAAGGAATTTATCCTCATCATTTACTCTGATAAATGTTTAAATAAACTTTTCAAATTTCAATCCTTCATATTTTCTCAACGACTCGACCGATTTTAAAAACGGAGCGGGAAAGTATAGATAATAGAAAGCCCTTTTCATTGCGGTACCACTTGACCCCCCTTCCCATTTGAAAAAAATTGGGGGATGACACCCCCGCTCAGAGGGTTGAAGATTTTGCAATCATTTTTGGGACAAAAGTTGTCCCCCTCACAAACAAAATTGACGTGTTTTTGAATTTTCTGAAAAAAAAATACCCTGGCCGTTATGCCTTGCGGAACGTTTTCGATGGGCCACCCTGTATATACTTTCTTTGTGCTTATGTCCATTGGCTGTAGACAGACTGTTTGTTTGTCATTGCCAGATGACAAGTTTCTTTTGTACTAAAACTTCTCAATTTTTTGAATAATACTACTTAAAATAATAAATAGAACTGCAAAAATAAAGAGAAATTTCACGTCTAAAGTACAGTCAACAGTTTTTTTTTTCAATTTTTTCAGATACCATCAAAACTAGATTTTTCATATGTAGGCGTACTATTTTTATGATTTTTTTATTCATTTTTCAAGTATACTAGTTTTTCGGTAAGTTTCTTGCAAAAAGAGTGGCAGTTTTTCTTTGTTTGTCAAAATTCGGAAAAAATGGACAAAATGCATCTAGAAAGTCTGCTCCTCACACTTGTCAAACGTTAATTTAAAATGATGTGGTGTATCAACATATTTTAATATCCTTTCCTTTAAGGATCTTGTAGAAACTAACATTAAAAATATTATATTAAATATCTTTGTAAAAGTTTAAAAACTATCGGCGCAAAGCAAGGTGCTCGAGTTTCTCAAATTCCAACAAAATATCTTCTACATCAACTTTTACTTTAACTTTTCGAACGAATATCTGGGCTTAAAAACTTTGGACTTTTATCAGGTAGCGAGACAAAATAAAGCAACAAGGAAACAAATAAACCGGTTAAAAAGAGGTATTTGTTTTGCCCTTTAGGGTTGGCTGTATTGCCCTGAAACAAATAGTTTAAAGTGGAGTAGGACGATTAATATAAAAGTAAATAGTTAATTTCATATCTGGTCTATCTATCTATTTCTGGTCTTTCAAATCATCAATCTAAGGCTACAAGTTAAATTATTTTATTTATTTCTTACTGAATAATTAATATAAGCTGAATAATAAATATAATATTGGTTGCGCTAACCATAAATGTCATAACTCCCTTGGTACGTACATTATTAACGGGAATTAAGATGCCATAATTACCTCTACCTTTTATAGGTAACAACCCTGAAATAGAATAAAAATTTTGAGTAATGATATAAAATGAAAATGGACACTTATCTAACTACTCTAATAATTTATTTACAAGAAAGTAAATGTACCAATAATCGTCACTGTACCAGTGTCCGTCATTTTGTCACATCAAAGTTATTGTCAAATATTAAGGAATTTTTATATACTTAGCACAATAATATATTAATAGCTGTAATGTAACAAGTTGCGAAATGAATGTGTTTTTGTCGAGTGCTTAAAGCACTCTTTCCGGAACGAATTTCACACAAGATATTATGTGAAAACGGATAATTTGAGATTTTCATGCTATTATTATTATTTATTTTTAAATATTTTTTAAAATTTTCTGGTAATCGGTTTCTAAGGCATTGTTTATGCATTGTTTAATGACAAAG